CCCCCCCCCCCCCCCCCCCCCCCCCCCCCCGGTTTTTTTTTTTTTTCTCTTCGTCCAGCTTCTCCTCCTGCAGTCTCCCGCGTACCTCCAGGCAAGGTGATCATATTACCTCTACTCTACCCCGCGGAACACCACGAGAGCATAGAACAGAATATCTTGGTATCAGAACAACCCAACCATGATGATGTAACGGGAGATCGCGCAGGATACCGGCGGGTGTTTGTGTGTACATGTACACCTCTTTGTACAATCTCTGTGTTGACGGAGTTGAAAGGACCATGCATGTCTTCGTTCCTTTGTAGATGCTGGGGTGGATTAGATGCTTCCTTGCCTTCTTTCAGGTTGCGTGCTCGCCACAGTTTAGGTACCTATGTCGGTGTTAGTGCGCTAGTAGAGTCTCTTGGTCTATTTTATTAGAAGAATGGTCGTGGATAATGCTTCACTGTTGAAGAGGACGTGTGGTTGGGTACCTGCCTCTACGTTTTCCTCGGTGATATGTTCTCTACTATTTTTTTCCTTACTTTTTTTGTTGCCGCTCATCTTCACCTTTTACCTTCTTTCACTTCATCTCGGATGTTTTCTAGTCTCTCTTCCCGTTCCCCTAGGTTCTTTCACTTCAGTTATCTTCTGGGTGCTCAAGAAGAAGAACCCATCTTTCACTTGCTCACCCTAGAAAACAACAGGCAAAGCACAAGTTGACGAGTGACTGGTCGCAGATTCCCTAGAAGTAGTAGGCACATGTATACAAGCAATCATCACCGATATGGCTCCGAACGTAGATCCCTCTCTTCCCTCTCTTTCCCCTCGTCACATAAATATTTTGGCTCACGTTTTACTGGGTCTTTATCTCCAGTCGTGCCGTGATAAAGCCTGACAAAATTTGCCATTAGCCACGGGGGTCACTATAACAGTTTACATCGCCATGGTTGACGAACATCCTCCCTTCTACCTTATGAGGGTTCAAGACAACAAAACCAAGCCGGCCACAGCCCAAGTCAGGTCGTCTAAATGCAGGGCCTACAGCAAATAGGTTGTTTGCCACGTCGTGAAGCCCGTTTGAGGCGTTGATGAAAAGTGATGATGATCTGAACGGAACAAGTTTTAGCCTGTTAATATAAGGATTTAGGGGGCTACAATGTCAAAGAATAAGGCATAATCTTTCCAAAGGTCTCGCCAGGTCACACAGGCAGGAACGATTGTAACAATCTTGATGGAACTTGACTTGAGGCGTAACCCTTGTCTCGCTATACCCAGTCCACCGCTCCCACACTGGAACGAGAGCACGGTTGAGAACAGGAATCAGTTTAACTTGGAGAGCAAAAGCTAAGAGACGAGGAGGAGCAGATGTTACTTATTCCTAGGTAGCTATCAATGCAAAGCAAATCAGCATATTTGTCGGAGGCAACCATCTACAACCAGTGTGACCGCAGTTCCAACTCCGAGCCCTATACGGCACCGTATTTACACCCATCAAATCCGAACAGGAACAGAGTCTCTCCGAGTACCGCTAAGCAAATGGCCGTCAGAAACCAGCGAGTTCTTGCACGGCACTCTTTTGAGAAAGTCTTCCAAGTTGCTCAACGTAGACTCCGCAATCTCTGTCAACGCCTCCTCCGTGAAGAAAGCCTGGTGACCACAAATGATCACATTGTGAAATGTTGTCAACCGCATCAGCTCATCGTCCTGAATGATATGGCCACTGTGATCCTGGTAGAACAGGGCGCTCTCTCCCTCGTAGACATCCAGCGCGAGCCCACCCAGTTGATGACTCTTGAGGGCGTCAATGACGGCCTTTGTGTTGATCAACCCACCACGGGACGTGTTGACGAGCATGGCGTCCTTTTTCATCTTGGCGAGCGTCTGCTTGTTTATGATGTGCTTGGTCTGATCTGTCAGAGGACAGTGGAGAGATACAAAGTCGCATTGGGGCAGCAGTTCGTCGAGACTGGCATACTCGCCGTACGGCTTGAAGGAATCGGTAGGATAGGGGTCGTAGGCGATCAGCTTGCAGCCAAAGCCCTGGAGGATGCGAGCAAGGCTAATACCAATCTTGCCAGTGCCGATGATACCGACGGTTTTGCCGTAAAGTGTACGACCGAGCAGGCCATCGAGGTTGAAGTTGCCCTCGCGCACGCGGTTGTAGGCTCGGTGCGTCTTGCGGTTGAGCGTCTGGATCAGAGCAATGGCAAACTCGGCGACGGCTTCGGGTGAGTACGAGGGGACGTTGGCGACGAAGAAGCCTAGACGCTCAGCTTCCTTGAGATCGAGATTGTTGTACCCGGCGCAGCGGAGGAGAATGGCTCGTACGCCTTCTCGGCGGAGAGCCTTCAGGACAGACCCATTAAGCGTGTCATTGACGAAGACACAGACAGCAGTGGCGCCGACCGCAAGAGGGACAGTCTCAACAGAGAGAGGAAAGTCGTGGAAAATAAGCTCAGTGCGAGGAGCTAGGGAGCCTTTCACATGGGGGTTATCTGTTGTATTTGCGAGGCCGTAGCGGGTAGCGTGTACTTGGGAAAGATATTCCCTGTCGTAAGGCTTCGCGCTGAAAACGGCCACTTTCATGGTGGTTTCCCCGCTGTGGGCGTCGACGTAGTGGTTGGAGAAGTGCTGGGGTAGGGGGGGAGGCTAGCGGCTGATTGGTGCGCTTTATGGGCCACTCTATTTCGAGGTCAAAGGATCCAATGATTTGGAGATTTGTGATGATTGTGATATCAGGAGAAAGATGCGGTCGAGGATGGTGATCGAAAGAGAGAGATTGTATCAGAGTGCCGTATTAACTCGGGAAATCAAGATTAGGGAATGCAGAGTTAGAGGTCATGATCAATCGTATCATAGGTACCTCGGACATACATGCTCTTTTACATTTCTAACCCAGCATTGTGCCTGCCTTCCCTAATCTCCAGTCAATCTTGTGAGTTAATACGGTAAAGCACAAGTTTGTAAACAAACCCCCCTAAGAGGTTATCAGATTTCTAGCACGAACCACCACAAAGAAAGCTTCATGGAGCTGTATGGTGCGCTGTATGGCCATTGATCGTCAATGACCTGGCCCACGGGATTTACTTGGCGATATATTACCATACCTGTAGTAAGCACATGTTCCCAAAATCTAAACAGCTTGATGTTGCAATGCAGTTTGCAAACCAACTGTGATTTTGGACTTGGCGCTGCTATCCTCTTTCCCATGATACTTCATCGCTGCCCCCGTTACAGAAGCCACTGTTCATCCACTGAGCCACTAACATTTTCGCTCAGGAGCTCCCAGCCTAGATGCCAAGCAATCCACAATTTTTTTGGGTTTGTCTCGCTGCCAGTTCCATGGTCGCGTTGATATTACAAGGGAAGAGCATTCGGGGCAAACACATCTTTTCTTTTTCGCCCTTGAAACGAAGTAGAGGTAACAAACTCGTCCACCCTCGAATTGTTCCAAACGTTTTACATACTGTACGGGCTGTGCCTAAAGAACGATACTAACCCCTAGGCTCTGGGGTGATCTGCACTAAATTTAGCGAGTGGGAGCTAGCTGTGGGGCAGGACGGTGCATCCCGTTGCCGACCCGTGCGGCCCGCTTGATGACCTCCTGGCATCTCGGGGGCGAAAAGATGACTTGATTACCTTACCTACCTCTACCTACCGTGCCGCGAAAAATAAGAGGTAAAAACAAAGACTTGGTGATTTAAATTTCTGTACCTTAAGACATGGAATCAACTATTCTTGGAACGTTCCTGATCCGTATTTGTAGGAATACGAGGGAGTGTCTCGCGTGTTCAAATGGTGCCAAGCGAGTGGAACCGTACTCAGGGGTCAAGTAAATAAATAGATGATGGATTGACCCGCTAAAAACCGGAAAATTGATCCCTGCCCATGCTATGGCCTCCAAGAATCGAAGAACGCCATCCCCCCTGTCCATGACTCCTATCTATACCATATATATACCGTTTTCATCTATCCATAACACCTAGAATGCTACCTCCGCATGAGCCTGATACTCCTCCATCACGGCCGGTTTCTTGGTAGTAAGTAACCTTCGAGGGACTTGGAGATGTGTTAATGGATGATGAAGCAAACGTCGGGCTTATCGATATCCATGCTCAAGGAGATGGCTGCGACTATGGTACAGCTCAGAAACGTCTGCACTCGAGTTGAGGGAGGTCCTTGGCGAGGCGATCGAAGGTACCAAGGAAGACGACCATCGGCGACCTTCATGATATTGGCCTTGTGGATGCAAGTAATCTTCTCCTCTACTCGTATGACCAATAATCGCCCCCTTAATGCTTGTTATTCGAGCAGTCGTGGCACATATCGCCGGGATACTGGACGCTCTCGCCGCAAGTGCAGGCCTTGCAGGCGCAAATGTATTGCCCGCCCTCGAAGGGGGACTGGTGCTGGTAGCTGGAGGGGTCACTTCCTCTACGGTTCTGGGAGCCTGAAAACCCGTCGGAGAACCCGTAGTACGGGTCAAATGGTGTGGCGGGGGCAGGAGCGAGGGCCTTAGTCTTGTGGTCTCCGGCCTTGTTCTTTGACTTGAAAAAAGGCATTCTTGATCTTGGCAGAGGCAGCTGGTCGCGTCGTTGATGGGTTCGGTCTTGGTGATTTTGGCTTTACGGATATTTCCAAGGTCTGATCTTGTTCTTGTGATGCTTCTTCGAAGTCTTTCAAGGAGTGAATAGAGTCTTGGGAGAACTATGTTTTTGTCGCAAATGTTAGCGTTGAGACCTCTACTTGGTCATAGTGAGTAAGAGCCGTTGACCCACCTGCTGTATACTGATGGTTGAAGATGTTACTGTTACGATGAAGATGTCAGCAACGAGTGGGTTGAGAGAGGTTCGAAAGTTCAGTCTGAAAGCGGGGTCTTTATTTGATGTCAACGGTCAGCTCCTCCTCAGAATTATCTCAACTTTCCAATTTCAAGGCTGCCTGTCTGTCACAGATTCAGCAGCTGGCGCATCAAACCGTTTCCAGCCAGTCTCTGACAGGTGATAAATTAAGGTTAAAGTCAGGCGTCATTACAGGTCTCCACTCAATTGCTATCGCGGTTTCAGAATGTGTGGATAAGGCTGAACTGCGAAGTCCCAATTCCGGTGAAATCTGGGGCTTCGACTGGAGCCAACACAAGTAGAAGGCGTCCTGACGAGGCAGGAGGGGGCGAAATCAGGGTTTCCAAGTCGAGCCGGAGACCGGTCGCGCTTGCATTTGGTCACTTGCATGCCGAAGATGCTCACTCTTTCCTTGAGGTACCTTACCTAAGGTACCTTGACTGCTCTCTGAGTGGTGCAACTGAAACTGACGCGAGGCAGATTGCATGCTCGATGAAGTAGAGTCAAGCCTTGCCAAAGAGTTGCGGATATCAGCATCGCTTCGTGTAAATGTAGAATATGAGTATGCACACATTGACGAAGCTTTTACGTGGATACGGTCTCCAACATCAAGAATAGTACCATATCCTTGTCGACGAGGCCTCCCAATGCCAAGGTACCCGATGGCCGCATCAACGGTGTCGGGGTTTAGGAAGCGGGCCGAGGTCTGGGAAGAATTCATGTCCACTCAATCGTGGATGAAAGATTAGTACCGGATAGTAGCGATGCGTACTCCGCCCAACTGCCGTCATTTCAATCGGCAGCAAGGGATGAAACATGACACTTTCACCGAGATCACACCACTGCGTTTAATTTCACGGATCTCCACCCGATCTCGTTCATTCCACCTGCAGCAAGATGGCCAATGGGGATATGAGTGACCCTGTGAGTGGAGGTCATATGCAAGGCACCAGGCACCAGGCACCAAGCACGATTGGGGAAAAGATATGGCAAGCGCGGTTGTCGAACAAGCGCAAGGAAGGAACCGAGTAGGCAACTAGACACCGCGGTGGTGTGAAGCGGAAGGTTGAAGAGCAGAAGTGAGAAGTATGCGAGGGCAAGAGTAAGTCGTCGCTGAAGCTGAGTATTCCGCAGTCGGCGAATGCCGCCGGTGGCTAATGGCTGCAAGACGCCAAGGATCAAATCAATCGATGAAGGAATTGACAGGGACAGCCTTCAGCGGCGGAGGCGCTTTAGATACAGCCTGGATGCTAATATTCAAAACGGAGCCCAATAGTTGCAGAACAGTTGCAGTTATGCCTGCACGAAATTCCCAGACATTTTGGTGATTATTTTCCGACATCTCATCCATTGACCAACGATCCTATCAAAGCCAAGGTAGAAAAGAAAGGAATATGGCGTAGGTGTATGCAGGCCACCATGCAAGCTTTGATCAAAACGTGGGCAGAAATCAGGAGAAAATCCTACCAAACAAGCCAAGTGAAGACGGATTCGAGAAAAGTGCAACAAGAAGGAACGCAATATGAAACGAAGCAAGACGTATCAAATACAGAAACCCTTTATTTCCACTACAGGGTAATATAAAGACCGACAGCCTTTTCCACAACCGGCCACAAATCGCAATTGAATCAATCCAAACATCTCCTCATTTGCCACATCAGTTCTTACGAGCCCTAACACCATGACGCGCCCAAGTTACACAAACCAATGTCGGGCAACACATGCCAAGAGTGATGTATCGTCTGAAAGGCAACCCTACCTAAGTCCATCACTTGCCGTCTGTCCGATAAACATGGAAAGTTGGAAGATGGAGTTTGTCGACGGAAAGGCGATCAAGCATATCTGGCCACTACGTTAGGCCCCCAACTCCGAAGCCAAGCCAGGAAGTCGATATATTCGACCAGATCACCACTGTACAGAGTATGTAATACGCCCCAAGCGCAAGGCTAATTCGAAGCAACCTTGGCTTTGGTCTATAACAGAATCTCTCTCGTGAACGGGCTCTGGGCTACCACGGCTGCTAACAGGCAAGCAGGAACTGGCTGGACATCATTTCTGCTACACAGATTCTCCAATGAAGAACCAATACCACTGCAGTTTCCTGTACCAGCGTTAACGCACTGTGAGAGCCAGGGAATAACACCTTTAAATCCGGGAGACATCATTTGTCCCGCAGAACACAACCCTCGACTTAAACATTCCATTCGTGGATCATTGCCTGTCCGTACTCCCAATCTCTCAAAGTATTGAAGCACACTGAAGCAAGTCCAAACCTTAAGAAGTTGCACAAGTCATTGAAGAAAACGCTCACTTCGTGCGTTGCGCGGTTGCAGACGGGGCACAAAGACCTTCCCTCCATATTCCCGGCCCTCCCAAGTTCGAGGATCAGCCGTGACGATTCTGGGACATCGATGGGACAAACTGACAAACTCGCTCCTTCCATGTAGTAAGGCAAGTCGATTTCCATACTGTACCACAAAAGACTGGAGTGTCACACTTGTGGTTGTCCGTGCCGTTCCTTCCATGCCCTCATGTTATCCCCGCTCACCAAATCCCATCCTTCCTTCTTCTTCAGTGTCGGGTCCGCCAATGACAGCACTATCACCACTACTGAGTGGAACTTCTTGCCCGCCCACCCCCCGTACGTGTCATCCGTGCCGTCCGTCTGCCGACTCCTCAACTCGGTCCCGGCTTTCTCCCGCCCCAAAGCCAAATGGTGTCTCCATTCCAATAGTTCGGTTTTGGGAGTTGCCCATCCGCCCGTGTACGACAGAACGAAAGATCAGAGTACAACGGCGTATGGTAGACGGCTACTTGACAATGATTACTGCCCAGGATATTACTTATGACACATTCAACTTTCAGTAACATTGGCCCTAAACAGCTGTCATGAACCCTTGAACCATGGATTATGGAGCGGTAACTAGGTACCTACCTCTATATAGCCGCAGACCTGGACAGCCATCTCCAAAAAAAAAAAAAAAAAAAAAAAAAGGTAGGTCAGCAATGTTACCAGTTCATGTCTGTGTAACATTGCCTGAATTGAATAGAACCACTGAAGCATGGCAAGCCTGACCTTGCTTCCATTGCCATGTCGTTTTTCATGCAAGTCGCGGATAGAGGGCTTGACAGATGACAGTTCATATAGACTTCATATCACGGGCTGGGGAGAGCCTGGTAGATGGGTAGGACGAGAATGTTCATAACAAGTGATGATGGTTTCTGGTGGAGATTGTGGGGAGTCTGATAATTGAAGGATATCGACAAGTTAAGGCCGTCGCGGGGGATGAAAGTTCCCACGTTCACAGTAGACATGTACGTCCGGGGCTGCTCTTATCGTCCTTTGGTGATGGTTGCTATCTAGGACCGGTTTCCGTTCCTTTCGCGGTGGACTGGCTCAACGTTTTTGCTTATCAAAGATCTGAATGTAACCAACCCCGGCTGCACCGTCCTAAAACAAATCATAATGTCAAGTCTGCCATGTCGTATCGAAACTAAACTTCAGACTGCGACGGTAACTTCCATTACAGTAGAAACCCCTGCTTTTGCTAATAATTCCGGCAGCCAAAATTCTTAGCAAAAGGGGGGGTTTTGCAAAAGAAGGTGCTTGCGCACAGACCAGACATGAGCCTCTTGGCCATTAGAAGCCCACTAATAGACCAAAAGAGTGGGCCAAAAGTGGGCCGTCTGAGCCAGCTGCCCCCCCGGTACAAGGGTATAAGTGCTCTCTCCCACTAAAATCTGACCCCTGCTTTTGCTAATCCGGGCCGTCAGCATTGCAATTAGCAGTTTGCAGTCCTTACCACCAGAGGGAATGCGGGCAACCAAAATCTTTAGCAAAAGGGGGGGTTTTAGCAAAAGGGGGGGTTAGCAAAAGCAGGGGTTTCTACTGTAACAAAATAAAAAGGAAAGAAAATGAGGAAAATGCAACTGTAAGATGCGACCCATCCGATAACCCGGGCAGCTACCCCCACCATCACAACCACCATGGCCGCCTCCGTTCCTTGATAACACCTAACCAGAATTTCTCCGCCGCGTGTTCTGAAGAGTACATGACAATATCTACCTCTACCTATCTGTAGTAGTGATAATGGTGATCCAACTTTGACTTGTGCCCTGTCTCTATATCCACCAAGCATTGATTGGAAAATGACAAAGACGAAGAGAAAATCACAAAAGGTACCACCAAATCTTGTGACCCTTGGAGTCCATACCAAACACATATCGGCCCTTGCGGAAGCGGCTCTAGACGACCTTACCGACTCAATCGCAACATCACCAAGTAAGGTAGGAAAGCCATTCATATGCCGATTTTTCTCTTGGGTTTTCCACCACTAAACGATAACTGATCCATATCTCCCATACAACCCAAACCCACCGACCTAGACATTTCCAAAAACAAAAAATTAACCCCCATCCCCCACACCGGCCAAGCCAAGGCATACCTGAAACAGATGCCAACCCGTCACATCCCTAGACTGCACGCACGTGCTCAAGTAGTATAGTAAAAATCAGGCCTCATATCCCCCAACTTATCAATCTGCTTCTCATCCAATCCTTCCACAAGATGATCCCTCTCGCCCCTCAGCCTCTTTCCGTTCTCGGCCCTCAAAAGCGCCGTCATCACAATGGACCCGCCAAAAAGGAAAACAGCCAAGAACCCCATGACAATGGCGTGGCCCGTCTTGTGGTTCGCGTAGATGTTGCTGCTGATGATGCCC